GATTTCCGGCTTAGTTCTCTGATGAGTGTATTTGGTAGGAAATTCCTCGATAGTTTTGTGTAACACCTCGTAACATTTTGCACTGGAACATTTGAGTAGAGTTTGTAAGTATAGTGAACCGGAGTGGAACCCTGTGAGTCAAGGGTGGCCGGGCTCACAGCCGTCCTAGATCATCAATCATCCCGAGACAATCGCGCAGCGCACAGCTGTCGCACAGCCCGACACGCCGTCAGCCACCGGCCTACCGGGTTTATATTAGAACTAACTCTTAACTGCAACCTAAACTTGCATTTGCAAAATTAAACGATTTCATTGATAAAAAAAGAGTAGCAGAGAACCCATCATGACTTAATTAAGCACCAAATTATTACAGTTTTAAGATCCAATAATCGGAAAAGTTTCGTCAATGTAAACGATTTTGTCCATACATAGGTACAGAATGTCCCCGGTTGAGTTTACAAGAGGAAAAAATTTTTGATTTTTGATTTTACGCCAAAGCTGCAAAGGAAAAACATTTTTTGGTTCATCTGAAACGAGCAAATCTGTACCTACTTAAAACTTCATTATTCTGATTCAGTGAAAAAAAAAGTTAATTTTTCTCTTGATTTTTGTCTTAGAATATTTTTATCTGCTTTTTAAGTCTTATCACTTTGGCTGTTTTATTTATTTGACAACTATATGTCACTTTGACAATTAATTTATTAACTGAATAATGATGGTTCTTGTTAAAAACGACTTTGTTTCTTATCCTAAAGCTGTTTCTTTGAGTTGCCATTTATTAAAATTATGTTTTCCACAAACATTTTTGTTATTCAACTTGCGTAAACTCAATTGTGACATTATTGTCAAAAAAATAAAACCGTCAATGTGATAGGACTTAAAAAGCAGAGAAAAATTAGTCCAAAATCAAGAGGAAAAATGAACTTTTCTTTCTACCTAGTTAGAATAATGAAGTTTTAATTACAGATTTGCTGGTTTCAGATAAAGCAGAAAATGTTTTTCCTTTGCAGTTTTGGTGTAAAATCAAAGATAATAATTTTTTTCCTTTTGTAAACTCAATCCGGGGACATATTATAGATGTAAAGTTTTAAAAAATTAAATATAATAAATTCTGTACAAAATAAATGTAATACTATAAACCTATTTAGTGTTAACGTACCTTAATGTACATATTTTGTTGGAAAATTTTTACTGTTATAATAAATTAGGACTACTAAAATAAGCGTACTAAACTACTAATAATGCTTAAATTAAAAGAATCTAAATCAAATAAAAAAACTTTTTTTAATCATGTTGGTTTGTATGAACAGAACTCTTATTTCAAAAATATTTTCTGAACATTTCTATACCAAGTCCAACTGAAACGAATAGGTTCGTTGCTTAAAACTAAAAAAAACTGTGGTTCTTTGTGAAGAACAAGAAAATAGAAATCTGAATGTTCTGTTATTAGTCGAAGAAAATACAAGAGTTTCCATAAGAGAACTCGCTCATCAACTGACAAATTAGATTTGTCAAACCAACAATTTAACTGTATCCAAGCATATTACTTAAATATTAACTTTTTGAAAAAAATAAGTAAGTTTAGGTGTTATAAGCCGGGGCGACTTGGACCGAACACCCTGTATATTTTTATTACTGATTATGATATAAGTTGTTTATTAAATTACAAATATACGATTTTAAATAAATCTCAACAAGACCATATACTATTAATCATATTAGTTAAGCTTATTACCACCGCCTCCTTAATGAAATGTATCAATATCCCGCCTGGGCATTTCGTAAAAAATGCATTGGAGCAGTGATTCCGATTGTTTCTTAGTTACGGGGGTTACTAAGGAAAAACTGAATAAGTTTTAATTATTAACGAAAAATAACGCAATTAATAAAATCTGGGAAGGAAGGATACAACAAAACAAGATACGCCAGGGAGAATTGATATTATGAGGTTGAACCCTTTAAGCTAAAAAACTGGATTTGTCAAAAATTTTCCCCAGATTAAAGCGCCAACGGGAATCAGTTGAACTCAAAAAATGCCCAGGCGAGAAAAGGATTATTTCTATGGAGACGGCGATGCTTATTACAATCAATCATTCTACAATAAAACAAATATGTTAACGAATTTTCCACTCATCCACCATAACGATTTTTTCTCTAAATAAATATTTTTTTCTTAGCATTTTATAATACTTTTAATAACTGATTTTGTAACTTATGTTTTATGTAAATTTAAGGTTTAATAATGTAATGATTTATTAACAAAAGTTTACTTTTACATAAAAAGAAATAGAAACAGTTTAACAGACTTAAGTTGCACATGAAAGCAAGTTGTTGTCAACTTGACAAACGCTAGTTAAAAATAGTAGATTATATCATTAAGGGTAGAAGTGAGTTTTTTTTAGCGAAGCAAAGTACAAAAAACCTTCTATACTCTGAATGATATATACTATTTTATTTTCAAGTGGATCACAAAAAAACGGAAATTTAGACTTTGTTGACTTCTTATTTTGACATCTGTCATTTGCGCACATGGGCAACTCGTGTTACACCACCGGTTAAATATTAAATAATAATTTTATTATTTCAAATTTTTGAACCTTTTTTAATAGAGATAATTTAATTATTAAATAATTAGTGTAATTGTTGTTAAAAATAAATCGTGACTTCACCGTGGGAAATGATTCAAACGATCTTATATTTAACTCGATCGAACCGGTCTTGTAGACATTTCAACTCCTAGGATTTGAAGTATTTCAACTCCGGTTACTAAAAAGCCACTTTAACTGTTTCCATCTAGAGATTCACAAAGACGCAATTTTCGACCGCTTGAAGATGAAATAAGTTTACTACAAAAATTGAATGTCATCTTTTCAAAACTTACTACCTAGTACTTATTTTTTAAAACTTACATTTTATTTTTCTAAAATTGATAATGAACAAAAACACGATTAGCCCGTCGCTCCAAACTTTTATTTTATTTATTTATAAATAAAAGTTTGGTGTGACGGGTTAATCGTGTTTTTGTTTATCGTTTCCATACCAAGAAGATCCAAGAAGAAGAATAAAATTGATAACATAAGTATTTGTTAGTTATCTTTCTTAGTATCATTTCGGGTCATATTTTTAAAGTAAAGTAGGTACACAAATACTTAAAACTTTTGTAATAAAAAAATGTGTATGATGTGGTAATAATCTTCATTAATTATAATTTTTAACTTGATTTAAACTAACAAATTTCTAATCATTTGGATCTAACTAAATGTTTTTATATTGTAAATATTTTCCAAAATATTAAATAGATCTTCCCATTGTCTTAATCTTTTAATCCATGGTTGTTTATATTGATATTTCCCTAATGACTTCTCAACCATACACCTGTAGAATTTGAGTTTCTCTAAGACTTTCTGACGCAATAACCCCCAACCGAGTGAAAGTTGGAGAATTTATGGAAAGTAAAATTTTCTAAACCGCTTGATTTTCAATCAATCGTCACTTTGTAGCGTCACAGTAAATCGCAAAAAAGCCAGTCCATTGCTTATTGAATATTCAACTCGATAAGCTTACCTCTTGTTTTGCAGCTTGAAAGGGGCATCTCGTAAACAAAATTTATCGTGGGTGCTTTAGTTAAACAGGTACAAATAAAGTTATTTGTTTGAGAACACAATAAAAACAATAAACATGTAATAAAATAATAAAGTGTGTAGTCAACGACCCGATGACAAGCAAGCAGCGATGTGGTGACGTCACTCACCCCTGCGTTAGGGATGATATATGGCGGCGGTTAGAAGATCGCGCAGCGGCCATCACTCAAATCAATTCACCCGCACAACGTATTTGACAATCCTTGTCTCTCTCTTCTACGTGTGCTGAATAAACACGTAAATAGTGACATAAGCAAAAATATTTTTTCTTATTTAAATTTTCGTGTCGCCTTCAAAATGGGCTCCTAATTACCAAATTAAAGAACGTTCTGTTTGTGGCAAATTATGAGGAAGTAGACAGAAAATCATGCAAACTATTGCCAGTTCCGATCATATCGACCATATAGCTCTAATCGAGTCATTATTGTTCATTGTTGAACTTTAGGATTAGGGAAAAAATTTCCATGTCTAGCCATTCCTCTTTGGACTTTGGCTACCAGTCTCGCCTTCACAGCAGGAAACGCAAGCAAACGGCTTAAGCACTCTGGACAGAATTGAATCGTCCCAATAAACATTATTAATTATTATTTCGTTACAATAAGTGTTAAGTAATTTTTAATTATTGTTAATCAGTCACACATTTAATTTGTTTACTGAGAAAAATTATATTTCACACATTTCGATTCAATTAAACAAAACCCTCCTCAAAATTTTCCATTAAAACTAACAACATTTTTAAATATAAAAAACTTTAGGTACTCAGTACCTATTTATGGTTATGAAAACAAAATGATTTTAACTCTTGGTAAAAATAGAAATTCAAAATTTAATTTTATTCTTGATTTTATTATAATGTACAGACTGGATTAGAAAAAACGTCCCATTATTTTTAAAGATATAACAATACTTTTTTGAAACAAAGTAGCCCAGTCATTTATTTTTTTAAAATGCTGAGTCACTAACTTTTTAACTAACTTTGATCAAAAAAGTATTGTCATATCTTTAAAAATAATGAAGTTATAGCTTGGAGCATTTTTTGTAATGTAGCTTGTATATTTATTAAAATGTTTGTCAGCACCATGCAAAATTACTTGTTTTTCTAATGATTTTTTTTCAATTTCTAGATTAACTAGTTAAACACTTGTTTTATTTTTGACAAACTCCATTTTAAAATAGTTATTTGCGCAGACATATTTTTAAATCAATATTTTTACCTCTAAATTATTGTAAGAAAAGTCCATGTGACAACAATTTTTGGGGGTATGCAAAAATAAATACTAATCCCCGAAAGGGTGGGACAAGGTACTATAAAATCTCTCTTAGCCCAAACAAATTTGTCAGTGTTTGTCCTGTTGTGAGTCAGTGCAAACTGTATATTTTGCAAAAATGTCTTATCCTCAATTTGAAAATGAAGCCGTTTTGTCCCCGTACAATTATCTGCAGGAAAAAACAACTTACGAATATTATAGTGAGAATAACCAAGTGGTGAGTGACTCATTTACTAATTTTTTTTGTTTGAATTCACTTTTTTCTTTATTTTACAGCTACCTCCAATGACTTACCCACGTTCTGATTGGATTTGCTCTCAATACGACTCGGCCCCTTACACGCCAATGCTTCAACTTCCGACAACCACAAGAGGTAATAAATTCTACATATTCCTTAATCATTTTTTTATAATTTAATTTCTTTATTTAGAAATCCAAGAGCAAGTGCCCCAACGTCCTAAGCCCACTCCAGGAAAACGTGCTCGCACTGCGTATACCTCGGCTCAATTAGTCGAATTAGAGCGGGAATTTCATCGCGGGAAATATTTAACACGGCCGCGAAGAATCCAAATGGCTGAAAATTTGAAACTGAGTGAACGTCAAATCAAAATTTGGTTCCAAAATCGAAGAATGAAGCACAAGAAAGAACAGATGAACAATGTCTCAACTCCTAGGGCTTCTCCTACTGAAACAACTTCATCGTTATCGCCTCAGTCTATTGCCAGCACTTCTTCATCTAGTGATTATCAAATTGTTGATCGTCTTTTATCTCATGCTCCTACAGCGACGTCCATCGACAGTGCAAACCAATGGTACAATCAAGTCGTTGATAACCGTTATCAACTTGATAATGTCCAATACAGTTTTGATAATCAATACAATAATCACTATTCGGATAAAAATGATTGGGTTGTGCCCACACAAGAGGAAAATTTTTATCAGGAGTCGTGGAATGACCAAAGTATTGATGTTGTGTCTCAGCCTGGTTTAACCTCATTATAAATTTAATAATTTGATGTTTTTTTTTTGATTCGTTGTTGTTAATTGTAAGTTCTGATACTAATCTACTTAGATTGAGTGATGATCTTGTAGAGTTTTAAATAATTATAGTAACAATGTACATAATTTTATTAATGTTTATGTATAATTATAATCGACTTTAAATAAAAGTTTATGATGTATTAATCTGAGTTTTTATTTTTGTTGAAAAAAATTACTTTTAACAATTCACAATCAAAAAATCAAAACAATTTAGAAAAATTGTTTCAACTTTATAAATACTTGTTTTTTATTAATTGAACATCTTTATCGCCCATAACAACAACCATCGATACAAATCACTAGTTCATTGATAGCAGTTATCAACTTTGTGATAATACACAAGTCTACTCTTGTGAAATACCAAAGTATTAATGTTGTGTCTTAGCATGGTTTAACCTTATTATAATAATATATAATAATAATATAATTTTTTTTTATATTTATTGTTAATTGCAAGTTTTCATACTGATCTACTTAGACTAAGTCAAAGATATTTTATAGTTTTTTTATAGTGACAACATATGTTTATTAGTGTTTATGTATGGAGCTTAAATAAAACTTAATATCTCAGTTTGATTTGTTTTTTAATTTTTCAATAGTTACTTTTAACAATGCACAGCAAAGACTATTTTTCAACGTTATAAATACTTGTTTGTAGAAACTCCAATCAAATTCTTTCACCTGAAGCAAAGTGCTTTTCAAAAATGGTGATATCACATAACCTTGGTTAATTATTGTCAACTATCTAAACCTAAAACTTGTTCAAGAAACGCTTAGTTGCGTTGTTACCCTCGTACGGTATTAACTAAATTTTCTCGAAATGTCCAAAATTAATGATTCAATAGAATCATCTAAAGTCAGAGAAAATGATAAAAACGAAGAGTTTGATAGTGAAGAAAAATTACCATTTTCTGGACTTTTCATAGAAAATCAAAACGGAATTGTGGGCAAGAATTTACTTTCGTCAGTTTATAATAATTATGTAAACGACAATCAAGGATTGGGTTTTAAAAATAACCAGTATTTTAGTGACAATAGTGAAATGAATACGCAAGTGGTTTGTTACTCATTTTATTAATTTTTAATAAGTTATAAAAATTTGTTAATTTAGGTTTCTCAAATTGATTATTCGCGTCCAAACTGGTCGTACCTGAAAAACCCACAGTTTGAGTCTCAACATTTCGAAGTTTCTCTCCCTCCAGAAAATCGTAAGTTTTTTCTTTCACTTAAAGAAAAAAATATTGATTTTAATTATAGGGTCAAATGAACCGGAAATCGATCGTCCTAAATCCACCCCAAACGGCAAAAGAGCCCGAACTGCCTACACCTCCTCACAATTAGTAGAATTAGAACGCGAATTTCATCGAAGCAAATATTTATGTCGTCCTCGTCGTATTCAAATGGCCCAAAACCTCAATTTAACTGAACGCCAAATAAAAATTTGGTTTCAAAACCGACGTATGAAGTTCAAGAAAGAAGAAAAAAACAAAGTCGTGACTCCCAAAACGTCCCCAAATGAAGCTTCTTCAATGTCACCACAATCGTCGTCTTCAAATAATTCAGTCTCACCAGCGAGTGATTCAAAAGCCTGTCTTCAGAACCAATTTGGGGTTTTGTATAACCAATTTCCAACCAGTCAGGCTGTAGTAAAAGACGAAACTTGTCAGTATGAAACTGAAAGTCCTTATCAGTTTAATGATCCTCAATTTAATTTTAATTATCAGTATAATCAAATGTATTCAAGTTACAATAATTACCAGGAGGGTTTTCCTTGTCAGTATTACCAAGGGAAAAATACTTGTGTGGGAGGAAAAGTCGATGAAAATGTTGGGGTTTATAGCGGGTGGGATGGACAGGTATTGGAAAATATGTCTCAACCTAATTTGACCTCACTATAATTATTATGATTTTTAATCTATGTATTGAATTGGTTTATTATTATTAAAATATCATTTACAAAAACCACAGTGTGAAAATGATTTATTACAACCCTCATAAATTTTCCAACAGGAGTTGTTACCTGACTTTCAGTCGCCCCAGAGTTTATTTTCGTCTCACCCTCTTAATCCTTGACGCGCCAGTTCCAAATTTTTAAATATTTTGTAATCTGTGTGGCTTCTTTTAATTTTTCTCATTATTTGATAAAAGAAACGTTTATCGACTTTTAGGCCAAGTCGGAGTGAAAAGAATTTTATGGCGCCTGAATTTACAGACTAATGACGTATTTATGGACATTGCTAGACCGTAAACGGACAAATGTCGCAATTAAGTAATGATCACTCAAAGGGAAAATAAAGAAAGTGTTTCGTTGTCAAACTTTTAGTAAAAATTAGAACTACGTGTTTATAAAAGTAAACTGGGACTAGTAACAACAAACTATTTTTCATACAATTGGCTAAAAAAGTTAAAACAATCTTGTTTTTGTTTAGATACAAGACAGAAAATAATACTATTGGTGTTTGTTTAGCATATTTAAAATAACAGTTTAGGTTTAGTTTCGTAAGTTGTGCGATAAAGCTCATATGGATAATATGGAAGATGCAACAGGCGGGCAGTTGCTTGCTTCTCTGCCATATTCTCACGTTTCTATCCCCACGAGGCAACATTGGGGCATTACAAGATTGTTGTTGCTATAATCCCGAGAGAGCCCTAACATTTTCACTTTGAACTCCGCGGTTCCGACAAGCTACTGTGCGGTTTGTCCCCCGTCTCGTTGTACCCAACAAGAACAAGTTATAAATTGCCAGCAAATTGGACGAGAGATGGAAACTTTAACCTCTTTATTTTTAATGATGATATAATTACGCATCACAGCCAGTTCATAAAGCCAATTTTATGTCTCCTTTTTTGGTAGATAATATTTACGAAGGTCTAGAGTTCTAAATACGAGTATTTTTAAAGCATGTTTATTGGTTATTTGAATACTTGATAAGTCAACATTTTTTGAAAATTATAAAAAATGTTAATGTGAGTTTAGAAATGTTGTGGGGTGTGAGTGCAAGTGTTTAACAAAATGGCCGAGTAAAGTGATACCCTGAGACCGTGTAGATAAACATGTGATTGTTGAATACGTCAATCAACAGACAAGTGGGGTTGTCGGCCATATTGCTCCATCCCCTGACATTTGACGAGCGTTGACAGACATCGAACCTGCCCCTTATCATATGTCAAATTATTCTCATTTCGGTTGCAACTCCCAACTCCGAATAAGTTGGGTGGAAATGAGCATCGACATTAGGGTCTCTGGCGAAATAGTTGTATAAAACAAGTTTTTAATGTCAGGAATTTGAGGTCGAAAAAGGCGATAGCATCGATATGCGTGACTAAATTCGATTTTCGTGTTGGTTGTAATATGGCCGCCGACACGATTTTTTTGTTTTTAACGCAGTCCGCAATTAAAATTGGTTTAGATAAATTGAATAATTTTTTGCTTTCATGCGTTATTACAAGAGACATATTTCAGTTTTTCTGAAATTAGAACGCTTGCTTGACTGTTGACTCTAATATAAAAATGCATTAAAATAATAACAGCTCATGGGAATTCTGCTCTAAAACTTTAATATGTCCAGACACGAAACGCTCTTTTCTAGGAATACACAAAAAATACTAGTATTGGAGTGAAAGACACGAAACATTAGCTGAATACGTGGTATCGATGTTGATCATTAATATAATCGTCGGGGTTCTTCTCTAGTGGGAAAACGACTGCTGCTCGAGGCAGGACGAATACATCCTTTTAAATAATACCTTAATTTACTCAAAAACAATCAATATTTAACCACGGTATCAAATTGCAACCCTTGAAAACCACTCAAATTTTCAATGACGCCAGATTAAAACGCCGTTGCAAAGATTAGAGGTAAATATGGTTTTAGTATCGGATTAGGCGGATTTCTTGCTCTGCATTCGAACAGGGCTTGCACCCTTTCGCATTGGGGAGAACTTCCGCTGCATGATTTCCATTCAGCGGCCATCCATCTTGTTTGAGATGGTTTAAACTGACAGACAGCAAGATCCGAGAGTGGTTCTATTTCGATGACATGGCACATATCTATTCCGCTACTTATACGCAAAACTTGGAATACGGCCAATATTTCGATTTTTTTCCTCAGAAAATTTTTTGCACCCCTTATGTTAATTTACGACGTACAAATACCGGAACTCAGTATGGATAACGGAAACGAAATTGAACTATTCTCGAAGCGGTTCTTTTCATCAAGTGTCTTTAAATTTCCAAGCGCCCTATTGTAAAACGGTATAAATACAGCTCGAACGTTCCACTGGATAAGTCAATAAGGGATAAGAAGGGGACGATATCGCCGGGAGGTTTATGAATAAAACAAAAGTCTTAACAGGCCGCGGCTTTGACTGCGTTTGATTTTCAGGATAAAAAGTTTTAGAGATTTTCACTATCAATGACTGACCAAAACTGCAAACCCACGCACAAAGAAATTCCGGTTTACTTCATGAAAACACTTTTTATATTTCTCAACAAAAACTGTTAAAAAATAACAATGTCCACAAAAAATTCAAAAGTCATGTGTACTGAAGTGTTGCATGAGTATCAGAAATAATAGGAGTTTTGAATTAGGCACTTATTTCTTATTTATTAAAGGTTTCAAAAACAGTAATTTTATATCATTATCAAACTTTGTTCTTATCAACTTGCTGAAGGGAATAAAATCAATAGTTATATTATAAGTTCCCATACCTAAATGAACTGAAAGCTAAACCAACCAACCAATTTAATCTTTAAATCATTATTAATGCATAAATAAAACTTTATAGAGATATATTGAATTTTATTTCAACTTTTATGCTGCCGCATTAAAATTATACAGACTGTGTCAGAACTCGCGCCCCGGAATTTTTTTTAAGTAAGATAAGATACCAGGAACATGAAAAAAATGTATCTGTCAAAAAAATTTGACATTTATTTTTTTGACATTTGACATTTTTTATGTCTATTTAATGATACTGATGATCTTGTATATGTTTATTTATATTTATTTAATAAAAGTACAGAAATTTTGCTAATTTTTATTAGCAAAATTTTATTTATAACTTTTGCCTAAAATAACATTAAACAGAGTTACAATTTAGGATATAGCTTCCTTGTATCCTCTTCCAATAGCCTGTAGCAAAAAAACTTGTAAAATTATTTTCTAATAGAAATAGAGTCAAAGTGCAAAATTTAAACTCTCATTACTTTGAAATTTTTATAGATAGAATTTTTTTAACATTTTTTCCATATTTCTAGTATCTTACCTTATATGGCATTTTTATCTGGGGCGCGAGTTCTGGCGCACCTGTACATAAATATATGTCAAAAAATTGTGACATTAAACAGTCAAAATAACATTAAACAGAGTTACAATTTAGAATATAGCTTCTTTGTTTTCTCTTCTAATAGCCTGTAGCAAAAAAACTGGGAAAATTATTTTTTCAACAGAAATAAATAGTCAAAGTGCAAAATTTAAACTCTCATAACATCGAATTTTTTATAGATAGAAGAATTTGTTTAACATTTTTTTTCTGGCATTTTTCTCTAGGGCACGAATTCTGGCCACTCTGTATAAAAACTATCACTCAATATTTAGTTTAACATCATTTTGGACATTCTACGATCACTAATTGCAATCTATTGCTCATATTTCAAGCTAAAAACTGTAATATATTGTTTTGTCTTTTGCTTCATTATTTGATTTTAAAACCAAATTTCGAATTAACTATTATTTAGTTTAAAATTGGTGTAATTGGCATTTATTTTTATGGCAATTAATAGGTGCTATTTGACTATTTCCTGTGATGAATGAAATTTTCATTCTAAATTCACTCAATTGGTTTGAGGAATAAGCAGTGCAAGCATGTTTTCCTGCAGTAGGTTTAGAAAGTTAAAGCTGCTGTTTTCAAATTGGTATTTAAAAAAACTGATTTAGAAAAAAAATATAATTCATAAAAACTAGATACTTATTCACGGAAATAGGTATAAGACAATGAATCGAAAAGGAAAATGAACTTTTAACACAAATGTTAAATATTTGTATAAAAATTTAAATAAAGACAACCTGGCTAAATACTCAAATTGAAGAAAAAACACATTTTTAAAATTGTTAAACACTGACACCTTTTTTAGGATAATACAAGAGTTTTATTTTCCACTCTTTATTATGCATACTCTTAGAAAATGTGGGTTTTTTAAATTTAAATTAAGTTAATTATCGAAAAAAAAACAAAATTAAAGAAAAACACGTTTTCAAACATTTATTAGTTATTAAACAAAGGTACCGATTATTATCAATAATTAAAAATTATGCATGTACCTACTTTATTATTTATTATTGCTTTAATATAATAAAAATGTTTTTTTTTTTTAATAATTCGTTCAATTAATAGCTTTTAATTGTGCTATAAGAAGACATCAGTTGTAACAGTTTAGTGTTTGGTATAGCTTCACCATTTCTTTCGGTGTGTGATTAGCGTTTTGCTTGTAATCAGGCTAGATAAGCCGAGTAGAGATCCGTGAAGTGCAGGGTGAGGGAAATGAGGAGTTGTGGGGTGTGAGTAATGAGCAAGTCTCTATCTCGAGTGCTTCGAATCGGGATCAATGACAAGTGCAGGCGAAGAGCGGTTAATAGGTGTTTGTGATAACAGGGATGCGATAACGGCACTGGTAAATATACTGGAAACGGAAAATGCATGATCAATGAGGATGCCGGCACACACCAGGAAATTATCTGCCCGAAATTTTCATCTTCTATTTCATGTTTGTACGCTTTTCTTAGATGAACATCGCTCGTAAATATGCTCCATCCCGGCCAATATCGCGTTTAATTAAGACACACTAAACGTCCAATTAGTTTTAATTGAGATGTTTAAAGTGAGTTTTCGCGACGCG